ATATTTGAATACTGGTCTCTTCTAATCTGTGCAAATCTATTTAGTAGATGTTAAGGATCAGGGAAGACTGCTCCATTCACCCTCACTGGTCTCTCTGAGGCCTTTCCACAAAGCCTTTGGCCTCTTGTCTTTATCTGTCAAAGATGGAAGCCCATGACTTTCCTACTTTTGGACTAGGCCTTGGGCTTGTGCACTGGCCCTGATTTCTCAAGGGTTCCAACAGCTGTCAGCTCCTTTAGGTCTTACATTCAGGAAATGTGAACAGTGGTTTGTACAGTCACCAAACAGCCTCCTTAAAGAACTGTTTAATTTTAGCATTAGATGAACAGTGCAGCATAAGGGGGAAAAGGATCGAAAAGCAATAAAAACTATGTAACTATAACTATCTTACTCTCCAGCATCTAATGAATGGAACTCTTGCTCATGAATACTTAAGCATCTTTGATTTAATTAGTTTATAAGGTGCATCTCTGTTTTTATCTTACTCTAAGCTTACCATCCCCCATGGAATATTAGTGAAGCCAAACTGCTTTAGACACTGTCACAGGCCTTTCTGGCTAGGGACAGACATTCAAAAAGGCTGAGTCTGAATTGATTCAATCTTTGCAGGTTAGTCTAACCTGGCTAGATTGAATCAGTTTGCAACTGCACAGGCATTCTCTCTGGACTGAGGAAATTCAGGCACATGCCTGAACACTCAGGCTAGAAGCTGGGGGCATCGCTAGAGCAGCCCTCTTTTCCTGTGCATAGTGCTGAGCTGAGGGGGGGTGTGGCCAGGACTTGGCAGACCTTCTGATTAGGGAGGTCTGCTTGCAGCATCCCAGGCTTTTCCCCGCTCACTGCTCAAGAGGTGGGAGTGTTGTCAGCACCCTGCTAGCACTCTGAGGCAAAGCGGGGTTACAGTGCATGCATCTATTGATGACACAGAGCTCTTTAATCTCCCTCCCTGCTTCTTTATATTGTTTTACTGTCTGCAGCAAACTGACAGATGAGCAATCCAGTAGGTGGCTGATAAGTGTTTATCACCCGATCAGCAAAATAATAGCTTCAAACTCTTCTTAAACAGCTTACCAGCTGACCTGCTGATTAGCTCCAAACAGCCCTAAGCGGTTACTGTTTCGTCTGCCTGTCCCAGTGAAATTGGAGACACACACAGACACCTCTCAGCATTAGCTATCATACCGCATGCCTAGGGTCTGTGGCACTGGGGTCCCTGCTGTGGGATATGGGAGGGAGGAAGGGGGGAGATTTCTTGCTTGAGCAGTGAGCAGCAAGTGGGGGTAGGGCAGGGGGAAGCCAGACAGATTTTGCTGTGCCTGCAAGTCTCTGTCAGAGCTCCAGCCAGGGAGCAGAGGGGAGGGGCCAGCCCTGCTGTAGAGCAGAGAGCTCGATCCAGCCCAGAGAGCATGCCAGGATGCTGGGGGTATATGGTTTATTTTAAACCAGCAAGGGGTCTGGGACAAACTTTGTATAAACTGGTTTGACCCAGATCAGTTAAGTCTGATACTACATTCAACCAGGTTTATCTCAAACTGGTTTTAGCCATTTTCAGACTGGTTTATGTGCACTGAACGTTAGGGGTGTGCAAAGCAGGCCCTATTCAATTTGGATTTGGATTCTGCCCGTATCAGGGACAGTGATTCAATTCGTTGATTTGGATCAGTGTCCCTGATTCAATTTGGCCAAATCTGAATCTGAAGATTCAATGCTGATTCAGAGAATCAGCGATTCAGATATAGACACAGCTTTAAAAGTTTTTTCTACATACCTTGTGGTAGCAGGCATGGCTCGTGATCATTGCGATGCTGGGACTCATAGAGCATCCCACAAAAGTGTGGGGGGCCCTCCACATGCTCAGCAGTGAACCCAGAAGTAGACTGGAAGTACAGCTATCAGCCACAGGGAAACCCCCAGTGGCTCCCCTCCCCTGACCCAGGAGGCATCAATTGCCGGGCTGAGGGGGCATGGGGGGGCAGGGAGGTGGCAGTGCACTCCCCAGCAGACCCAGAAGTGGACCAGAAGTGTTTCTGGTCCACTTCCAGGTCTGCCATCAAGCGTGCTGGGGAGCGCCCCGTGCTTCTGTGGGACGCTCCATGTGCCCCAGCATCACAGCACTCGTGAGCCCCTGCTACCTAGAGGTATGTAGGAAAAAACATTTAAAGCTGTCTCTGTGTCCAAATCTCTCTGATTCAATTCAGAGAGATTAAAGGGTTCTCTGATTCGATTCGGATTCAGAGATTTGGCCACCAAATTGGGCCGAATCTCCATGAATCGAATTGGGGACCGAAGCTTTGCACAGCCCTACTGAACATCTGTTCTATTACAGGTTTAAACCAGTTTCTGATCACTTAAACTGCTTTATGTTTAATGTCTGTCCCTAGCCTCTGTGTCAGTCTGTCCTCACCAGCAGCCTGCTGCTGGCTTCAGCATTCAATTCTTTGGAGTGTTACTTTTTAACTGTTTCTGTTCTTTTGATCTATCTGTTCCCCTCCAGAGCAAAACAGCTGTTTAACATAGATAGAAACTGTTACGTAGCATTTCCACAGCTTAATAGCATAGGAGGTGTTATCAGTTGTCTATTTATTGGAGGACTTTTATCTGATGCTACTGTGTCCCTGGTAATACTTTGCTATTACCTTCAGCATATCTGAGTATATAGTAAAAATTTTAATCATAAAGTAAGTATTTCCCAGGTTCAGTCATATACAGTATTCATTTATTAATACAGACCTCTGTGTCCATGAAAACAGTCACATCAGGTTATCTCATTATTATTATTATTATTATTATAACTGATAATAGGACTTAAAAAGATGTGTAATCAGCCTATTAAGCATTTGTCTGTCAGAGATCCAACTCCATGCCAAAACCTTAGTCCAGTCACTAGTCAAATTATGAAGTCTCCTTTGAGCCTATGAGCATATGTTTGCTGTTCCATAAATCACTCAAAACAGGATTTAGAATAGCCATGGCATCTACTAGACAGTAAGCTAACTTTAAGTTCTAATGACTCTCTCAGTCCTTCAGAGTTTGGAAGGACAAAACTGGTTCTTCATTTCCATACTAATATTTACCTAAGGTAGTAAATTTATGTCAGTTTTATTCATTCTGTTAACCTATGAGTAATCTTTCTTAGGCCACATGGCCAAGTGAAGCAAAATTCCATCTACTAAAGCTTTAGCTTTCTACCCAACAAGAGCCAGAGTATTTAGAAAATCACCAAATGCTTTTTCTTAAATGGTAAAGGGCAAGCAGCTCTCTCTCAACAGCTGTGTAAAAGGGCTAGTTTATGTATTAAAGAAATCTAGAAAACAACTATTGTCCCTATAATGTAGGGATCAGGTCCCTACAATGTAGGGATGAGCCATAGATGGCCTCTGGCATACTTCAGGCATATTCTCATTATAGAGATTTGCAGAGCTGCTAGATAGCTGTAATAACATTTTTATAAAACATACATTAGACTTTGTATCCCAGTTGGATGCCATGGGTGGAGGTATACAGAGGTCACTCAAAGAAGGAATAAAAGTTACCTATCTGTATTCAGAGTTTTCTAGATGGACTCTGAGGAAGTGAGGGGAATTGGCAGAGAATGAATGGGCAGAGCCCTAGTTACAACCTCAGACCTGAGAAAGAGGTTGGAAGAACTGAGGTCACTAGAGTGCCGTACAAAATGTTATGGCCTCACCCTCGAATATCCAGGAACAAAGAGGGGAGAAGCAGGTTGGTGCAAGAGCTGTTATTGCTATTAGAAGTTCTGCCATCAGTTGATAGGGGTGCATCCCATGAATGTGGATGTACAGTGATCAGTCTGAAAGGACTTCAATTAAAGAGAAGACAGCTTCATTTATCCCCTCTTTATAGATAGGTAAACTAAGGTACAGAGAATATAAATGAATGGTAGGGGACTATAAAGGTTCTGAGTCCATACCCCAGAGAAACATGTCCTTGCAGAAGACTGAGAAATTTAGGTGTTCAGATTTGGTACACTGAAGAGTCAAGGCTAGAAATCAGAAATTCTAGTCTGTTGTCCTAGTAGTGCTGAAGAGATGTTGTATCCACAATGGTCCAGGAAATATGTGAGAAGCAAGGATTTATTTGTGTGTTATCATTTATTGGACTGAGGGATTAGTGTAGACTAAGAAGAGTGCATTGCATTTGAAAGCTTCCCAGACATCCAATCCAATGAAAGATTCTTCAATCTCTTGCACCCTAATTATTAACAAGTCCATGCTGGCTTTAGTTATAGAGAAAGCAGGGTAGATAGTATACTATATAGTATACTACAGAATATTGTAGGTTTTTGCAACTGCCTGGATCCAGGTAGTCTTCATCAAATTGCTTGCATAGATTCTCACTGGGTAGAGTTGCATATAATATTCACAAGCCATTTAATATTTTTTTCTGAATATTTTTAAAGCCTTTCTCAGCAGGTGTTATGGTACCTTGCCCCTACTGTGAAACAAAAGAATTTGTGTTATCAATCACTGAAATAGCCTGAATTGCTAGTCTGGGCTGTAAATATGGACACAAAGCTCTTTTGCACATTCTATTTTTTTTAAGTTGATTTATCTGAATTCAGCATGCGAAAGATTCTGGACCACCAGGCTTTGGAGACAATTCACTTCTTAACAGAACAGGAGTGCTAGCAGCAGCCACAGTGCAAGCTTTTTCCCAAGCTGCTCTGTTTCCACACTGAGATGGAGGAGGTGCTTCAGGGTAAAATGATAAGGTAGTTCTGGCTCTATACCCATTTTCTGTGCCCTTTCTGCTAAACCTACTAATATTGATAAGCGTTATAGCTAATTATGCTAATGTTCTTTTTGTGACGTGGACACACTGTTATGGGTATTCAGAGTAAATATCTTGAAAATGTACCACTAATGGAAAGGGAGCTTGGCTGAAGGACTGCACTATACTTTTACAGGCATTTTCATTTATTTGTATTGTTCATATTTAAATGCAATGCAGCAGCTTTGAGATTTTCGTTTTTATTTCAGACTAAATGAGGAACAAATTGCTACAGTGTGTGAGTCAGTGCTGCAAGCACTTGCGTACTTGCATTCCCAGGGCGTGATCCACAGAGACATTAAGAGTGACTCCATTCTCCTGACCCTTGATGGAAGGGTAAGCTTCCTCTGTCTGTCTGTCTCAGCCTGCAGCTCACCCAGAATCCTTTCCTTTTTCATCTTTTTCAGTTTTTTTCCCCTTCCTTTTCATTTTCCGCTGCTCTAACCTTTTTCTCTTTCTTCTTTGCTGTTTTCCATGTTTTTTTGCTGCTGTTTCTTCATCTTATCTCTGTTCACTTATTTATCACTGCATGCTTGTCACTTTCCTTCGTGTTTAGATAGTCTATCCATTACCCTGCTTTCATCTCTTTCACAGGTGAAACTCTCAGATTTTGGATTCTGTGCTCAGATCAGCAAAGATGTCCCAAAAAGGAAGTCGCTGGTAGGAACTCCATATTGGATGGCTCCAGAGGTCATTGCAAGGGTCCCATATACTACTGAGGTAATATACCAGTTTTCGAGTAAAAGAACTAGCAAATAGTGGTCTGAAATAATATAAGTGAATCACTGAGGTAATAATCTGCTCCTCTTCTGACCAGGCACTTAAAGCCCAACTAAACATAAACACAGCACAACAGGAAACTTGGCTATAACAAGATGGGTTATCTCCTGAAATGGAAAAAAAACATGGGTTGGTCTAGACAGGTTATAACTATATTCTAACCATGTCACTGATCCTTGCTATATATTGTCTACACATGTTGTGTGCGCAGGCCTTTTAGCAAGGAGCAGTTTGGGATATGATAAGCCAGGAATCACTGGATGAATTTAATCTCCATAGGGGATGAAGGTGGCAAGGGAAAGACACAAATGTGAATGCACGTTACTTGGGAAAATTGTGAAACTATGAAACAGGTGACAGAACCAGACTGAGTATCCCAGGGATTGAGTTCCTTTATTTATTCACAGAACTGATATGATTTGGACAGTGAAAATACAGGCTTCTTTACCCTGCAGCACAACAGTGGCTCAGTCGTTGCCTAGATGAGTCACTTCTTGAAGAGTCCAGTCTCCATGACCTATTCAGTCTTCATCCTCTCAGCTAAAATTTCCTTCATGGGGTATGAATAGTATCCAGCTGATTTAACTTTTCACCTTCTCAATAATATCTGAAATATAGTTGGGATGTTACAAGCAATTATTTTATAAATATAACCCTCCCCTTGCTGGAAAAAGAAAGATCATGAGTAGGAAGCGGAGGGATGTTGCTATTGATGAGTGGAGGGCCACTGTATTCAGTGTGATGTTGTATTCTACTTCTGCAGGTGGATATCTGGTCTTTGGGGATCATGGTGATAGAGATGGTAGATGGGGAACCTCCCTATTTTAGTGACTCTCCAGTCCAAGCAATGAAGAGACTCCGTGACAGTCCTCCTCCCAAGCTGAAAAATTTTCACAGGGTCAGTATGCTTTCAGGGCAGTTATGAATCTGATTAATCGTTGATTGGCAAGTTGACACAGAGTCCTGAGGGCCAGGTTGATGATAACTTATTCCACTCAGAAAAATTGGTCAAGGAATCCCAGTCCTATCAGGAGACTGCTTTATGGAGGCCACAGGTAGGTAGTCTCTCTTCAGGTGTAGTAGGTAAGTTGGTTGGGTGTCTCCCTTAGCAATCAGCACCATGGTAGAGTGCTGACACCTAGTGGCCAGTGAGAGAAATTTTGTTAGTAAAAAATGTTTTAGGACTGTTATAAGATGGCTCATTCAGTGAATTATAATAATATATCAGCCACTGATACTTAACCTGACTTGATCACTTTTTGTAAGTTTAGAAACACAGTGAGTTCCTTTTCAGGCACCAGTCAAAATACTCTTATTTCAGACAAGCTCTTCTGAGAACAAATCATTTCTATAGTTTTGTGAACTATCAGACTTTTCCAATTAATTATGACCATCTGCAGCTGCTAAACCAAAATGCTTCTACTGAAAGCATTTCAAATTTAAAATTCACAGTATAACAGTAGAAGTTGCTACTTTATTCTTTTTTACATATGCAAAACTAATATTAAATTTTAGGGCTAGAATCTGGCCTCAATGTAATTTTTAGGTGGCATAACATTAGCTCAACCTGCCAATCCTGTTTCTGTGCACTCTTTGGAAGTAACCCTTGGTTGGTGAAGTGACCAGTTAAGGACTACCACCAAAAAGTTTAACAGAGCTAGGAAGAGAGAGCATGACTATATGGCATAGTGCAATGATTCTCAACCAGGTTGCTGTGGCACCCTGGGGTGCTTTAAGATCCTTTCATACGTGCTGTGGGGTGCCATGCAGTGTTAGCACTATAAAGTGTGCAAACATGATACACAAAATAAAACCGGAGATTTTAAATAGGAATCCATAGTGTTAAAACAATTCTGGCCTGTTGTGATCTTTCTGAGTGTTTTAGATGGCTTCTCTAGGCATCTGTCTCCAGGCACCAAATAGGGAACCTGGGGTTTTGGATTCTACTCTAGAAGCCATGTGGCTAAACATGAATATTGTATCAGCTAACGGTTAGGGTGCCTGAGAGTAATAACAAACGATCAAATGGCAGTGAGTTAAAAGTGGTGCTGACTTCCTGCAGAGCAGCTGATGCATGGGAACTGCCTTTGTGCTTATTCCCTCCTCTGTGGAAAGCGAAAGCTGCATTAACAGTAACTGCATCCATGTTGGTCAGAGATAACTTACTATAGGGTAAGAAAAGCAACATGAAGAGTTACTGTGCACCATCTGCTCTGTAGTGAGTTCCCAGCCTATTGATTCAGTACAATTTGATTTTGTTCATGCCCACAGTCTTTAGATCAGTGGTTCTCAACCTTTCTAGACTCAAGGCACTCCTCCTTAGACTTGAGGGACCTCTTGGAAAATGCCTGTTCTTAGCTTCCATTCATTTTTTGACAACAGAAAAATACGGAGCAATTCTTCTGTTGTAAAGAACTCAGAAAGATCACAGCAGGTCATCATAGCTTTAACACTATGGACTTGTATCTGAAATATCCAGGTTTGTCTTGTGAATCATGCTTGCACACTTAACAGTGCTAACATTGTGTGACACCCCACAGCACCCTTGAAAGGACCTCAAGGCACCCAGGGTGCCATAGCACCCTGGTTTAACGTTACTGCTTTAAACTATTGGATCTTGCCCACACTCCCATTTTCCTGGTAAACACCTTGTTAAATATCATGGCAGACACAAGTATGGCACCTAGTGTTAACATGAGGATTAGTAGAGTATTTATAGCAGGGGTGGGCAATTGTTTTGGGCGGAGGGCTGCTTACTGAGTTTCGGCAAGCCATTGAGGGCCGCATAACAGGCAGCCATGGGCAGATAAAGATTAATTTTCTAAATTTTTTAGGGGCTCCATGGGCTGGGGGCTGCATTTTGCCCACCCCTGATCTGTAGGAAGTTTCTTCCCTCTCAAATTTACGTGAAAGGACAGATTTCATACATGGAAGCAGATCTAGGATTTTGCAAAGCAAGTGTGGGAGCACCAACTGGTGCTGCAGGGGTGGCTGCATCCCCTACACCCAACCTTTTGTCCTCTTCCTCCTGCCCTGGACTGGGGTGGGTAGACCATACTGCAGAAGCAGCAGGTGGGGATTTTAAGTCCCCAAAGCAGGTAAGAATTCCCCGCCCCCCTTTCCCTCCCTGCTCAGAAGCAAATCCCCTCTCCACCCCTTTCCCCTCTTCCCTGCCTGGCACTGCTGCTGTACTCACTGCCCTGGGCTAGGGAGAGATGATTAAAAAACCTGAGCCTGAATTGATTCAATCTTTGCAGGTTAGTCTAACCTGCCTAGGTTGAATCAGTCTGTAACCATAAAGACATCGCCTCTAGACTGAAAATGCAGGCACATGCTTGCAGTGGCTCAGGCTAGAAGTGCTCCCTTCCCTTCCATAATGCTGAACTGAGGGGGAGGCATGGCCAGGTCCCAGCAGGATGCTCTGATTAGGGAGGGGTCCCCTGCCTTGCTAGTCAGTGAGGGAGCCAGGGATTTACACAGCATTTAGTTACACAGTAGGGAACATTTATCAGCCCATCAGCAAAACAAAAGGATCTCTCATTAGTTCAAGCTCTTCTTAAACAACTTGTTCCAAAGAAGGAATGGAGGGACATTACCAGCTACCTGTTGATTAGCTCCAAAAAGCCCTAAGCAGCACTGTGCTGTCTGCCTTTGTCCTGCCTCCCACAGCACAGACTGTAGCCAGCATGTGGTATACTAGCTAATGATGAAGAATGTCTGTGTAAGGCAGAGGGGGGAATCACTGCTTCAACAGGAAGTGATGAGGGGGCGGGGGGAGCAGGGGGAAGCCAGGCAGACTCTGCTGTATGTGCAATCTCTATTGCAGCTGCAACCAGGGAGCAGAGGGGAGGGGCCAGCCCAACTCTCTGGAACAGAGAGCCCCTCCCAGTCCAGAGAGCATGCTGGTATGCTGGGGGGCTCTGATTTAACTTTAACTTAAACCAGGAAGGGGTCTGGGACACAGTGCATAAACTGGTTTGACCCAAATCAGATAAACCTGGTTAAATGTAGTATCAGACTTATCTCAAACCAGTTTCAGTCATTCTGTTTAAACCAGTTTCTGATCACTTAAACCTGTTTATGTGTAATGTCTGCCCCTAGCCTTGGAGGTAAGGAGAGCTCCAGAGCTGCTTCCACCCAACTCCAGCTAGGCTGCAAGGGGGCCAGGCTGTGTGGGTTCCCCCTCCCTGTGCCTCTTCCTGGGCTGCCAGGGAACTTCTGGGGGACCAGGCAAGGAGGGAGAACCTGCCCCTTGTGGTCCTAGACTGAGTCCAGCCTCTGCACAGCCTGGCTGGAATAATTCTGGAGCTCTCCCCTTGCCTCTGGGTTAAGTCCAGACAGTGGCAGCAGCAGGTAGGGGAGGGGAAGATGTGGGGATTTCGTGCCTCTGAGCATTGAAGGGAAGGGAGGGGGGGATTTTTACCTGCTTGGGGGGACTTAAAAAGACCTGGCTGATGCTCCAGCCACCTGGTCAGAAACTGGGGTGCAACTGTGCCTTTGCACCCGCTCTGGATTCACCTTTGTTCATACAGGATTTCATCATGCAGAATTGTTCTTTTTTAAGCCTATTATTGTGTAAACTCTGACTTGGTACCTTAAGTGATTTCACCTGACTAGTTCTTTCTCTACAGACTTCCCCAGTTCTGAGAGACTTCTTGGAGCGGATGCTGACACGAGATCCCCTAGAAAGAGCAACAGCACAAGAACTTCTAGATCACCCCTTCCTGCTCCAGACTGGACTTCCAGAGTGCCTGGTCCCCCTTATTCAACAGTACAGGAAACGCACCTCCACTTGCTGACTGCTCATGGGGAAATGCTGATTTCCCAGCACTGGAAATGCAATCCCTATGCTGGAAATACTGTTTGTACTCAACTGAGACCCAGACAGTCTCACCCTGTGAATGGTGCTTGCCAGTATTCTTTCAAAAGGATGAATGTGAATACTCCCGAATACTTCCCTCCAGCCCATGGTCTCTACCTGCTGCTTTTTTTTTGGCTGAAGACAATCAACAGAAACTAGATCTGAATAAGACCCAATCTTGCTCATTAAGAAGACAATCTTTACATGACTTCTGAATTGCTCAACTTTCCTACAAGAATGGCATTTTTAAGATGAGTGAAGTTGTATATACGTCTGCAAACTCCTGAAAACTTTAGCCATTGGTGACCAAATTGGAACTATATTTCCCAAACAGAAATGTGATATTTGTTCTTGTATACCGAAGTCCTGGGATGACCCAAAGTAGATGCATTTTGGGGCACCTGACTCCTTTCAAAAACAATGCTGTTTTTCTTTATGATGTTGTCTCAGAGATGATTTTTTCTCATTCCTGAAAAAACAGATATGGTGTATGCTCTATAATATTTTCAAATGCCTCCCATGCAACAAACTGCTTCATTTTTGCAGAAGATATATGTGATTTAGCAACAAGACTTAGCAGGTGGGCTGCCATCAGTCCATTTCACAATCTTACCTGCATGGAGGATGATTCTGCCTGGCACAGGCCTTGATGTCTGCTCATAGTCTATTCTGCCGGCCACCAGAACCCTACAGTTGAGAATTCCTAAAACGTAACACCCTGGCCTCTAGCACTGCCTGGATTGGAAAGTAAAACCTTGTTCTTGGCAGGAAGAGTTTAAGAAAGCTTGTTCCAGGATCCAAGACCCCAGAGAGACATTGGACTGATGTCAAGATAAGCTTCCCTGAAACAGCTTTTGGGTAGCCCTGCATACGAGCTGTGAAACCTGTAACAGGTTCAATAAAACATTGAAGCTGTCCTGTATATCTGGTAAAAAGGTGATTTGTTTTCTTGGTGAGAACATTTGGCTTCCACCTCCTGTTTTTGCTACAGCTGGACAATGCCAGGAGATTTCTTTTGTTGTGTAATTTGTTATGGGCACCCTGCATCTTTGCTGATAAGTCTGAAGGAGTCCTGAAACCATTTTTTAAAATATATTTAGGCATTTTGTATGATAAATTGTTTGATCACTGAGATTGTCAAGGTCATTTGACATCTAGGTCAGGTTGTAACATGTTATAGTAATGTGTATAATTGTGAGGTATCTGGAATATAGCCCTGCATGTGAAACTGGGATCCCCATTTGCAGCCAAATTACAGAGCTCACAGACGTTGATTCTTTTGGGGCAGCCCTACTGCCTCAAAAATTAACGTTATAAATTAATTCTCTTAATTCACCTCTTTACTTTCACTACCACCCCCAGTTACAGAGCTGGCTTTAGATGAGTAACATGAAATTCTGTAGCCACATTGGGGAAATGTTGATGTCAAATGTTTCTATATTTCCTGATATCTATCCTTTTTATGCAAAAAAAAAAAAAAAAAAAAAAAAAAAAAAAAAATTTTTAAAAGGCTTTAAATTTAAAAAAAAAAATTTTTTAAAAGTTTTTTTTTTTTTTTTTTTAAAAAAAAAAAAAAAAAAAGCCTTTTAAAAGGCTTATAATTTGAAACAAATGATCTTTACTTTCTAAACCTGTGAATTGTTTGCACTTGTGCTTTAAATTAAAGTAGGTCTTGATTTATTCATAAACCAGTTGCACTTCTGAGATCTTATACATTACACCTACAGTTCTGAGACAGAAGGGAGCACATACATCTGTGAGTTGTAATGGCTGTTCTAACTCATTTGTATACTGAAGAGGGCATGCTTTCAAAACTGGAGGGAACCACAGCAAGAGGGATGGCCCTTGAAAACAGGGTTAAGCAGGATTTGATCTTTGGCACAATGCTGACCAAAAAGAACAGAGAGGAGGGGGAGCAGAGCTCTTTGATGGAACATGAAATTAATTTGGAAAGACTAAGGGAGATATCTGTTTCCTCTCTCAAATCAATAACCATAATGTTCAAGGGGTCTAAGTAGGGGTAGGGGTCTACTTAATTCATGGTTCTTCAGTTTTCATGGCATTATCCACAATCACCAGGAAATATTGCATTGTCCACCATTTCCCACAAAATCAGCCTTAAAAGAGTACATTATTCATACAATACACTGTTTTAGAATGTCCCAGTGCTTACTGCAATACAGACAGCACAACAATCGCTATAGACATAGATCACGTGATTGAGAGTTACTGTCTGCTAGCGACATAGACATGATGGCACCAGTCAGTGAAGGGAAAGTGTTTGAGTGCCATCTTTTAAGAAGTTTAAATGCAATGCCAGTGCCCCTCCACCAAATAGCACAAGGGGCAGGACTGCTGGGAAATGCCAGCAAAATTGGGTCTTCATGTTGTGACCAAGCCACAAAAATTGTTTTGTCTTACTGTGAGTTAAGAAGGCCCCTAACAATAAAATTTTGGGTCCTTGAATTCATCTACAGAGTTCTTGCACTACAGACCTCTGATTGACTGTTTTGTAAAGTAGGTGAGAGAGAGACTAGGAGTATCAAAGGAGCACAATAAAATCAAATTTCTGTGCCGTAGCTTGTGAAGATTGAAGACTGTAGTCTCCGGGGCCAGTAGCAACTCTCTCAGGAACTAGCACAAGATAGAAGAAAAACCAGGCACCCCCATGGTAAGCACTGCCAGATTTTAATTTGCTTTGCAGCAGCACCAAAAAACTCCAGCCTCATTGTGTGCTAGGTGATGTGCAACTATATGACAAAAAGATGGTCAACATCATGAAGGTCTATCTTACTGAATAATCATTCAAGAAATGTAATCTTGAAATGCATATCACAGCACTTTCAGCAGCTGCTCATTGACAGCTGCTCCTTACTACTATAACAGGGGTTAGGGATGAGTCATAGATGATTACTCAAAAAGGACAGCAACAGTGCAAGTTTCCCTTATGCTTGTGTTCTTCAGCTGTGCTTGGAAAGATCTAATCTGATGTCAAAGTATCCAAGTCTCTGTGTCCACTCAGCTCTTGGACTCTGCTGCTGATGTCCATTCTGATAGTGATTTCTGAGCACTAAACTTTTCACAAACACGGTCTCATACAGTAATGAAAAACGTTTTGAAAATGTTAATTCTAAATGTTCCTCATTTAACCAATTCCTGCCATCCTCCTAGTAAATATGTAGCTATAAGCCATCTCTTTGTAAAACACAGGCACACTGCTAAGGACATTGTTTAAAAGTTAGTTTCAGGATGAGCACAGCAAATATAATAAGGTAGATGGCTGTTTCTTCATGCCAACAAAAAATGTACTGAACAGCCATCTACCTTACTAAAAATCACAGGCACCTTTTAAGTGTGTCAGTGCAAAACTGTCAGGAAAATGTATCAGCCCAGCCATTAAATGTCCTTTTACTCTGATCATGATGAAAAAATGGTACTTTATTTGCTTGTTTAAAAAAAATACTCCCCAGGGATAAAAGGTGACTAGTTTTGCAAGACTGCTCTTAATTATCTTACCAGCAGTTTGTAGTCACTAGGCAGTATACTGGTGAAATGATTGTAATATTGCATCTTTCCTTCTAGTCAGCATCCTTTTTAAGTACGAAAATGTTTGCATTCCCATGCCTATAGATTGCAAAGCAGGAGACTTAAGCAAGACAGATGAAAAGGTGCCTGCTGGGCACCTGGGAGGCTGGAGAGGTGGTGGGAGAGGACTGTTAGTGGGGAGTTGGTTGCTGGGTGAGAGGCATGCAAAGCAAAGGTAGGGAGTGAGCAAGAGGTCCACAAAGGTTCAGCAGGAGGCTGTGAAAGCAGGAGAAAGGCTGCCCAAGGAGTTGCTGGCAGAGCTGTTTGAAGTATGGAGAAACAAGTGTGATAGCTGCCCCTGGAGGCTGAGAGGAGGATGCCCTAAGGCAGGGGCAGGCAAAATGTGGCCCACGGGCTGGATGCGGCCTGCCAGGCCATTCTATCCGACCCGCAGGGCCCCTAAAAATTTAGAAAATGAATATTAATCTGCCCCTGGCTGCCTGTCATGCAGCCATTGCTAGCTTGCCAAAACTCAGTAAGTGGCCCTCTGCCTGAAATTATTGCCTGCCCCTGCCCTAAGACATCTCTGAAGTGAGGGTAAGTGGATGATAAGCTAGGAGTACCCAGTCACTTGCAGCTTCTCCCAGCCCCAGGGCAGAGGCTGGTGTGGGCTGCACCGTGCTTCTGGCCCCTCCCATCCAGTTCCATGTGGAACTAACTGTGCAGGACTTCACAGCTAGACCTGCCCCGCTGCCACGGGACCAGTTCAAGCCCATGCCCCACCAGAGCATCAAGTCCTGGCCTTGCTGAGAGTCCTATCCCATCTCTGCCCTGCAAGCAGGAGTGTGGAGACCCTCCCACTGGGGCTGAAGGGAAAACCTGGCCCTTAGGAGCTATGTCCATATCACCTAGCCTTGGGGAGGCAACCTCTCCATCTTTGGGGCTCAGAGGTCCCACTGGTTTGGATAATAGTAATTGTCTTTTCCCCCTCTGTCAGCCAAATTCACCCTGCAGTCAGACCCAGGGCTCTGGGAAGCTTCAAGATGCCCAGAAAAGCCAGCCTAAGAGTAAAACCACTAGTGCCAAAATCCCACAGCAAAGGCCATTTACCTTCTAACAACCACTAAACCCCAGTGCCACAAATCTTGGGCATGAGTCTCATCTCATCCTGCACCAGCTTTATCCAGATATAATTACACACAGTAGAGTTACTGGTGATATGCACAAGTATAGTCCATGGAAGAATTGGAGCCTCTGTGATGAGGGCTGATTTCCATGACCATTCTGCAAATTCAAAAGGCTTGAAGAGCCCAGCTGAGACTGGAATTCAACATAGGCACTTGAACTTGTGGTCTCTGGTGAAGCTAATTTCCAACTACTTTTAGGGCCGATTTCTGCCAAGAATCAAAGTGGGGGTGAGATTGGACACAGAATGTTTCTCCCTTATCCATGTGCAGCTTTGAATTAAAGCATCTGAGCATTATAGCTGTGCAAGTTGGATTGAAATGACAAGTCATTACTGATTGCTGTAAACAAGGGGAGGAAAACCTAGCTGTTCACTTTAAAGCTGTGAAAATGCTTCAGTGTCTTTAGGTCACTGATTGCCTAGGGGATAATAACAGAAATAAGGCCAAAGCAGCAAATTACACATATTTTCTGGTATTTGCTTCTGAATGTTTGGTTGACTGCATCTTCATAAAGATCTTCATCCATTTGTGACAGCTGCAGCCATTTTTCAAGGAATCTGGGTGGCTTCAGGCTTTTAGTTAATGTTTGCAAAGTGCTTTGAAAATGTGAAGTGCAGAGCAATCATAAAGATAATAAGCCCGGTGTCTGGCCAGGGAGAGCTGCTCCCACCTAGAACTAGCTCCTGGGTAAAAAAAAAACAAGAAACAGCTCAATGTGTAACTTCCTTTCTTCTGTGACCAGAGTGTAGGGGAATACAGCCCTGGGCTATGCTTCTCACTTGAAGGCATCTTCTGTGTCAGGCCTCTTGCTTCAGTCAATGCCAAGCTCTTGCTGGGCTACCTAGGAAAGCTGAACATCAGGATGCCCCATTCTTCTCATTGGGTTGCTTTTGCCCTTGCAGAAAGCTGATGTTGTTATTCTGTGCATGCAATGGTGTCTGTTCATTTAAATAGAATGACAAGTCTGGGAGGGACTTCAAGGTTCATTTAATCCAATCCCCTGCACAGTTGTAAGAAGCACTAATCCCAAAATTAGCTTATTTTGGGCCTGATGTTCCAAGTTATTGCCTTTATTATGAGCATATTAGGAAATCTGGGGGTTAAAATGCAAGTATTGTTGGGTAAGGCAACCGAGTGAATGTAAAAGCTAAATTTAGAACCTGCAACAGAGTATATAAGGAACATCCAAAATGTTGTTATAGACATGGTGATTTAACTAACCAGTTTGCTTTTATGGTTTCTTCCCTTGGTTATCATCAATTGGCTGTTTTCTAGCTATGCTGGCCTCAATATGCCCTCTTGAGCCTCCATCTCAACTGCCCTTTGCCAAGTAAGGTTAATACACTTAGACAAGACTCCAAAGGAATCCCAGGCAGCTTTAGGAATAAGAGGCACAGAAGTTTAAAAGATGGTATTTTATATTCCTCACAGAATCAGCACAGAACCTGTCCCAGAGTGACACCATGGGATGCTGTACTATGAATCTGATAGATCCTGTATGAATGGTGCATAAGAGAAAATTGCTCAGTACTTATATCCATTAAA